AGCAAAGGCAGCAGCAGCTCAGCTATGACAGAGGAGGGTTGAAATGCTCAAAGCTGGGGACAGGGAAATTGCAGGGGATAGCACGATCCTGTTCACAGGATTTAGAGACCGAGAAATAGGAGACTCAGTTTTAACTCTGAGGTCCACGACTTTTCATCTTTTGTGATCATAGAGTATATTTAGCTCTGGTATGTAGCTTGCTCCCATCTGTAGGGAACAAGTTCTTCATCTAAGTCATATTTAGAAGTGACCCAGTGTCCTTGTGCTACCAAATTATCAGCACAACAACTGTCTAGTTCTCTCGCTGCTGTCCTCAGCTCAGAGGCAGGACGGTCAGAGCTGCATTCATCATTCGAATTACTGGGCATGTGTTTAATACTACAGTTAGGGACCAGTATGCCAACAGCTGCCCAAAGGAAAGATGAGACCAAGTACAAGCTGGACTGCTCTGAAAATTCAGATGTGTGCATGTGTCTGCCACATTGGGACTACATGGCACCAGCCGGATCAGAACAGGAAAATTTTGCATCTGCTGCTCCCCAGCTCCTGCAACAAGGGGAAAGGACTTGGGTCTCTGCTGCTAAGGAGGCTGCTCCCATGCTGGTGAGGATGAAGAGCAAATCCACCAAAGACAATGGAATCGAGGAGAAGACAGAACAACTCGATTCACGTGCTGTGACAAAGACAAAGCTAGAGCCAGCTCAGCCTGGCGCTCCACCACACGCAGGCCTGTGCCCTGACTGCACTGGAATGGCACACGGCGCCCTACACCCAGAGCCTGTCCCCGGCAAAAGGTCTACTCCTGCCTTGAGCCTGGCACACCACTTATGTAGCCAAGTGTAAGGTCAGGGTATCGGATCGTGCTCTCCTTCTGTATTGTTCTGCAGGCCTATACCAGCTGCAGGACACGAGCAAATTGTTCCCAAAACCAAAACGAATCGTATACCCTTGGGTCTGATACCAGCATTTGCCACCTTGAAGCAGCCGTTGAAGAAAATTTGCAAAGCTATCTGATCTGCTTATAAATATGTCTACTCTTAAAGAAAAAATAAAAAAGGAAAAAAAAAGAGCTCTTTCTGACTGGCAAGCATTTGGTCTGAATAGCAGTAACCATGCCCAAGAACTAGCAGCTGAAGCCATTTGGAAAATGGATTTGAATGTTTCTTAGGAAATTCCCCCTCAAAGCTTTCATCCAAAGCTTTCATGTTATTGGCACACGGTCAACAAGAGGTGCCGGGTGTGCCATCCCCATGGGAGCCACTTGTGAGCGGCAGAACAGGCTGGGGTCCTGCAGCTGGCCAGCTTTTTGGTATGGGGTGCAATAGGAAGTCAGAGCACAGGGGATGACAGCTGACAGGGGCTGAGCGGAGCAAGGCCAGCGCGTGCCGTCTTATAAGCATAACCACAGAAAAAGATGAAAGTTTGTTTCCTTTTATTTTTAACCCAATAGAGAAGTTTTAAGGATAAACAGCTGTGAGAGAGGGTGGGCTGAGACAAAGAGGGACTTTCTTCACTTCCTAACTGCAGCAGCATCAATGCATGAAATTTCAAACTCAAAGAGATTTAACTCTTTCCGACGCTGCCTGAGACCAAATGCGGGCCAGAGTCAGGGCACCACCAAAATAAGCAACTAGACAAGAATGGGCAGGGGGTCTCTGGAGCAATGACATCCAACGAGCAGACATGGAAAGAGCTAGATCCTGCTGCAAGAGACAGCTATATGTTTCCAAGAGCTCAGTCACTTACTCAGTCACTGGTAGATCTCCCACACAGATAGCTCCTCCGCTGAGGCACAGCCACAGGAATGCATCTGCCATACTCTGCTCATGTACAGAGCAGCGAGCACGGCTGCGAAGAGGAGAACCAGGGAATCCCCGTTCCCTGCACAGGCTCAAGCCTGTCTCGAGCACTGGAGCCGCAGAGGAGAGGACCAAGGGAGGGGCACCAAGCAGCCCTGCCACATCACCACGTACGGCTCAAGCGGTCTACAGTTGCTCCTAGCAGCTTCCAAGAAGTTTCATATGTTTCTCAAAATTTCTTAAAAGGAACAATGCTGCAGTAGAGGCAGCTCCATTTGGAGAGAGAGAGGGTCTCCCTCGTTCTCTGATCAGCTCTGTGCTGGCTGGTAGCTGCGGGGACACGCTGTGGCATTGCCAGCTGCCTCCAAGCAAAGCGCAGTCTGTAAACTCTGGGCTAAGCCCCCAGGCCTAATGCTGCTCCCCTAAAATCAGAAGCCAGATCTCAGAGTCACCCTGACACAGGCGCATCCTTTGCCTTGCATTACTGTTAAGATCTCTGGTTACAACAATCTAGAAGCTACTTTTCAAAACAGGATTTACTACCGACTCCGTGCTCTCTGCTGTGCCGGTGCCTCCCCTGCCAGGGCAGCAGGAGGAAGGAGAGAGCCTCTTCATGGTTTCTCTTTCTGTTCCGCATACCCCAGGCAATATTTACAGCTGCATTTGAGTGTCTAGGGCTGGTGGGGGGGAAGCCTTCAGTTTATAAATAACCCTGACTGATGTTTGGGTAATTTTCATAGTTTCCATTCATTTCAGGTTTCACCAAAACCTGCATTTGGTGGCTTGACAGCTGGAACGTGACTGGCTGGCCTTCTCTTATTGAAGTGCCTAGCAGTTAACAGTTTGTTCATTCATTTCTTCCTTGCCAAGTCCAGCTTGCACACCTAGTACCCGTGTCCCATAACAATCGTCTTCCGGAAACCACATGCCAACCCCTGGGCACAAACATTTTGCACAGACAGGAACTGCAGGAGGGAGAACCGGGCAACGTCTTACACTGTGGGCAAAGCAGATGAGCCACTGAGCTTCATTTGGGGAAGGTCAGGATCCACTCCACATGGTACAGAGGAAATGGACAACAGCAATTCGATGAAGCTTCCAAAGACAGACTAACCCTGACAAACTCCTCATCTATCCTCAAATCCCACAGAGGACCAAGGAAATTGTGGGTTCAAGGGAATGCAAGAGTAGAGCCTGGCAGGCTCTTAATTTTGTTGGTCTACTGACAAGACAAAGAGGGAACTGGCAGCCAAGCTCTGTTGCTTGACTGAGCACCTGACGCTCTGCTCAGAAGCCACAGAGCAGTCCCAGACATGGTGCTCAGGTAAACAGCTCCACATTTTGCCAAACCCACATCTCCAGTGATTCTGCTGCAGCAATGACTGAATGCAACAAAATTCTCGTTTACTGACGCTTGCAAATAATGATATATGATCCCCTCCCTCCAACCCTCCAGTTTCCTGGTTCCTGTCTCTTGGCAACTGATAAATAATTTATAGTGCTCTCTGCTGTATGTGCTAACTGCAGCTCTGCTGGTTTAATGATGAAACCAATGCTGGAACACTAACTGTCTAGATCACAAGGAACACAAAGTCAGTTGATCCCACACTCCTCTGTATGCGAAACTAAAAGCAAACTGTTCAAAAACAAAAACTACATTTTCCAGAGCTGCAGGGCTGTGGCTGCTGGGTAGGAACGGCACCCACAGGAACAGCAGATGATCTGCAAGAGGAACAGGCGTGCGCCAGCGCTCCTGCCAACACGAGGAGTTTAACGTGCTTCACCATTTTGCTCTTTTCTGTTAGCACGTGTGGAAAAACTCCTAACAGGCTGGTTTTGCCGTCAGCATCTCTTATGCGCTCCCGCACAGTTTGGAAAGCCTCTGGGGTCTGCATCTCGAAGGTATCGCTGCTGCCTACTCTGAGGGCTGAGAAAGCTATTGCAGCTCCCATGCAAGGAGAGCTATCAAAAAGCAGCATCTTGTCTACGTAGACTACTGTGGCTTTTGCACCAAAAAAAGAGGCTCTTCATTTCGTGACAGATGTTCCTTGAGTTTTTCCAACAGAGCCGTATGAAAACTGGCATGTTTGAACTGTACACAACACACATACACTGGGTGTGCACTATTGTGGCAACACAGTCTCTTACATCCATAAACTTGCAATGAAATTACCCAGGCAGTTGGCAACTGCAGCCATGAGGACAGAGGAGTGAAAGTTTCTGTTCTGTTGTTAGTAGATTTTCTTTAAAAAAAAAAAAAAAAAAAAAAAAATCACCCCAAAAAAACATGAGCGGAGAGTAGAAAAGGGATGAAGTATTTCTGTTGACAAAGGCCAAAATCCCATCTATTTATATTAGAGTCACACAAAACCCACAACAGAGCAGTGCTCAAAAGCTTCAAAAAAGTACCTACTTTCTTAGTGCTCTTAGAAAATAATAATAAAAAACCCTATCAATATTCACTTTCTGAAATGGTGTAAAAAAAGAACTGCATCAATCATTAAACAGTTAAATGAAGGCAGTATGACAGTCACTATTGTTCTCATGAAGCACACTTGTCTTTTGCAGAGCAGCTGCCAGATCCTATTAGATGTATAAAAAGAGGACTTTTCTAACCGAGTAGGGATGGTATAAGCTATTGAAAACAGCAGACAAAAGCCCACTTTTGCAGACTATTCAGGCCTTGTATAACATCTGTCCAAAATCAATTTTTGACCTAATGTTACTTTCATTAAGTAACAGACTTTGTTTCCAATGCAATTTGTTTTCTAGGATAAAACTGTATCCTAAGCATTACTACGTGGGAAAAGGCGCAGAAGAAGCAGATCTTATTTGAGAAACACGAGAACAGAATTTGCTTAATTGTTTTGACACCTTAAGTACTATAATAGAGAAACTATTTTCCATTTATTTGAATTCTTGTGAATTCTTGAAGTTGGCAAAGCAGCAAGTAATGCATTGGGTTTATTATGACTAAGATTTACTGAGGATAAAGGAAGATCTTTGGGCATTACGTTAAAGCTGACAAATGCACAAAACTTCTGAAATCTTCACCAGAAATGAAGTACTCTGAACATTAACAACAGCTGTTGAAACTGTCCACTCTTGACAGCTAAGGCTTTTTTCAAGCATCTTAAATAATGAGGAAGTTGATTCATGAATTTGATTTCAAACAGACAGTTAAGAAACATTTCCACTTACCCAAAGGGTCTCTGAATGAAGGCTGGATGTAGCTGCTGCACACCTATGGTAAAACCTAAAAAACCGTCCAGAAAGAAAGAAATATTAATGAATGGCATCCATTGTACCGTTCAACTTGTAATATACAGGCATAATTACACCTCAGGCCACACGTACATGCATTCCATCTGCAAATTCAGAGCCCCATATAGAAGCAAATTGATTTTAATATGCATATGTGATATGCACGAGGACCAGATGGGAATTCAGATCAAAGAACAGTGTGAAAGTGCTGGTATTCATCAGACAATGGGGTACAGTGCCTTACTTTACACACTGGGTACTGTGGTCATTAAACCAGAGGGCAGAATGATGAAAAGGGTCTTACTGATGTAACGAAGAGGAAAACGGGAAAACAGTAGCCATGGAAGGAAACAGCTTACATCAGTTATATGACATTAGGTGCCTAACACTAGTGTAACAGGTACAAGTAAGAAGTTACAGAAGAGAGACAACTGGACTACACAGTGTCCTCAGTCAACAATCAGAACTACGAGGGATAAGCACGCATCGTCGGATCAGATGAATCCAGCCTGAGTAACTTGTTTCCTTGTCTTACAAGTTATTCTAATAGAGAGAGACGGGATCTCCTAGATGCCTCACCAGTTTGAATACTCCTTGGTTTTGCTCCCAAATACGCCAGGTTCACATTTGCTTTCCTGCCATCAATGATGGGGTTTGGGTCTTTGCATGCTCTTTCAGCCGCAGCTCTGTCTGCCATGGTCACCTGGAATTAAGCACAGCCTTGTTTGTAGCAACAGCACTTTGTAAACGCTCCAGCAACAGGCTCTAAGCGGAGTTTTATTTATTGTTCTAGTCTGAATCGGGAGCTAAACTCCGCTCCGTGCAGCCTCACTTGCTCAGAGCTCCCGGGGACTTGACAGAAAAGAGGGCTCCCCCCTCGCCAAGTTACTCCGTTGGGCTCACGCCAGTTGTTTTCCCTTGCCTTTCCACCTCCTCCCCCGTGCTTTTTTAAGCGGTCGGTGGAGCCAGTCCCAGAACTCCCCGAAGCACAGGCAGTTCAGGGGAGCTGGCTCCGCGCTCCCGCAACGCGCGATGCGGGGACC